GAGGATCACAGTCTGAGGACCCATGCCTAAACTAAGGTTCTAGGATCATCTCCCAAAACCACATGTTACAGTTTAGATCTGGGGTGTCCCCCAAAAGCCTCATGAGTTTGGAAGGTGATGGATCATGGGGGTGTTGTACTCATTGGTGAATCAGCCCATGGATGAGTTCATAGCTAATTTGCTACTAAGAGCTGGAGCCTGATTGGAGAGTGACCTGGGAGGATGTATCTCTCCCCCTCGCTCCTCCTTCCACTGTTAACTGTCCACCTTAGCACGAGCAGCTGTCCTCCACCAGACCCTCCACTATGCCCTTCCTGACTTTGGGCCCAGGTGACCATGGATTATAACCATGAGCCAACATCAACCTCCCCTCCTTTAAGCTGTGGGTGTCAGGTATTTTGTTGTAGCAACAAGAAAGTAACTGAGACACCACCATAGAATTGGGTCACCCAGGAAGCTGCTGCCTCGCCCTCAGTAGGCAGCTTCAGGCTTGGGCACCCATCCCCACAGCTGTCCATAAGAGAACCAGTATCTGCCATGATGCCCACCACCAAATGAGTACCTGGTCTCCACTCCGCTGTTGGGTCACTCAGTTCCAAAACCAGATCATACCTCAGCGCAGCCATTTGGTGGGTGCTAAATTACTTTGAATCTGCTACCTGCAAGGATGCTGGGAAATGTAGTTTTTAGCTCTTCAGACTCAGCGCCCTAGAGAAGAGGTGAAAGAGAAAAATTACTCTGTCTACCTTAGTGAAGCCGGAAATCTCACCACTGATTAAGCATTGTTGACAAATACACAGAGTTATCCATTCCAGCCAAGGATTAGCAACACCCCTAGGAGACTGATTAGATAATCACGGTGCATCCTACCGTGAAGAACTATTGGGCTGATGAAAAGAATGAGGCCTCTCTCAAAGGACCAATAATAAGGACCTACAAGGTCCATTAAAGGGTGCAACATGAAAAAGCAAGATGCTACAATTTGTGCAAAGGAGAGGAGAAGGAAAACTTATGCCCTTATATTAGCAGAGACTGTCTGAAAGAACAGACACAAAATAGACCTTAGCTACTGGTGCCAGAGAGAAGAACGGGGTGCTCAGAGGACAGGAACGTGAGGGGCACTTGGCATGAGCCTTGCTTCGTGTTCTAACTTGCAAATTTTGACCCTGTAGTATGAGTACTAGGGTTTGACTGCTTTTCTCCTCCAAAACTTATGTTGAAATTAAATCACCAGTGTTGAAAAGTGGGACCGTCAAAAGATAATTAGACCACAGGGACTCCCTTGGCATACGAAATTTAATCCCTGTGGCAGGAGGAGCAGCTTGGAGGAGCTGCTTGGCTCTACCCTTCTGAAGAGGACATGACTTTCAAGGCGCCATCTTGGAAGCCGAGGTGGGACCTTCACCCGACACCAGACTGGCCAGAGCTTTGATCTTGGACTTCGCAGCCTCCAGAGCTGTAAGAAATGAATTCCTGTTCCTTATCAATTACTTCATAAAATAGACTCTTCAGGATGAACTGAGATGATTGATACATTGGGTTTTATTAAAGAATTTAAATCTGCTCTATAGAATCACCATGTGCCGTGTGATGTGTGCACTCATTTACCCGCTTGTTTATTCGGCACAGGTGTGGGGCCCTGGTCCAGCCTGAGACCACGACTTGAGGGACGTGGAGACGGTATCTGGGGAAGGAGAGCATTCCTGGCCGAGCGGACGGCCCATGCAGAGTGGGCCTGCAGACAGGGCACAGGGTCCGATAGGGAGCAGAAGCAAGGTGGCCAGAGCAGGCACCAGGGTGTGTGTGCCCAGCCTCTCTCCCAACCTCTCCATGCCTCTCATGTGTGTGAGATGCACACAGGTCATCTCCCCAGGAACAACCCTGAGGTTGGATGGCTTTGGGTCTGAGGACTGGGGAGAAGTCCTATTGATTCTGTCCATCTGACTAAATCCACCTGGGAAATGCCAGACAGTGCAGCAGTTTGGCTCAGAGGGAGGCTGGCTGTGATTACGGTTCACTTAGAAACACCTTAAATGGGGAGAAGAAGAGGGGAGACAACCTCTGCCCTTTAAATATGATTATGATATTTCCAGGGCTTTCTCTCAAGAAACAGCTTCATGCTTTGAGGGAGCGGGGTGTCCTCCTGCCTGCCAAGTCCCCCAGTCACTTGCAGAATTCTGGAACCAAAGAAGTCTTGGTCTTCACTCACTTGCTTTCCCATCTCGGACCCTCTCTGCAGTGAGCGCCAAATGAAGATAGAAGCAAGAACAGCTCAGTACATGAAGAGAAAGGGGACCATGGGAAAGATCACGGAAGATGTTATTAAAAAATAATCAGGCACCCAATACTTGGCCTGTGTGGGCAAGAGAGACTGGGTGGAAATCCAAAGGAAGACACTGGGGACCGAGGATGACCTCACAGAGCATTAGAAAAGGGGACAGGAAAGCAAGAGCCAGAGGATGGAGACATAGCTCAGTACATGAAGAGAAAGGGGACCATGGGAAAGATCACGGAAGATGTTATTAAAAAATAATCAGGCACCCAATACTTGGCCTGTGTGGGCAAGAGAGACTGGGTGGAAATCCAAAGGAAGACACTGGGGACCGAGGATGACCTCACAGAGCATTAGAAAAGGGGACAGGAAAGCAAGAGCCAGAGGATGGAGACATGGGTGTTCACTGGGGGAGAAGAGACAACCTCTGCCCTTTAAATATGATGATATTTCCAGGGCTTTCTCTCAAGAAACAGCTTCATGCTTTGAGGGAGCAGGGTGTCCTCCTGCCTGCCAAGTCCCCCAGTCACTGGCAGAATTCTGGAACCAAAGAAGTCTTGGTCTTCACTCACTTGCTTTTCCATCTCGGACCCTCTCTGCAGTGAGCGCCAAATGAAGATAGAAGCAAGAACAGCTCAGTACATGAAGAGAAAGGGGACCATGGGAAAGATCACGGAAGATGTTATTAAAAAATAATCAGGCACCCAATACTTGGCCTGTGTGGGCAAGAGAGACTGGGTGGAAATCCAAAGGAAGACACTGGGGACCGAGGATGACCTCACAGAGCATTAGAAAAGGGGACAGGAAAGCAAGAGCCAGAGGATGGAGACATGGGTGTTCACTGGGAGAGAAGGCCAAATAGATAGAACTCTGGTCCACAGATCGAGCTGATTTCCAGAGATGGCATCTTAGCTTCCTAGGGCTGCAGTAGCAAAGAACCACACTGGGTGTCTTAAAACAACAGAGATGAATCTCTTCCAGTTTTGGAGGTCAGAGGTCTGACATCGAGGTACCAGCTGGGCCACACACTAGGGGAGGAGCCTTCATGCAATCTAGTGGCTGCCCAGGAGTCCTTGGCCATCCTCGGCTCCTAGAGAAATGTCCTTATCTGTCAAAGGTAGGAACTCCAGTCTCTGGATTTAGGGCCCACCCTAACCCATTGTGACCTCATCCACTTGATCACATCTGCAAAGACTGCCTCCAAGGAGGATCCCACACAGAGGTACCATGGATGAGGGTTTCACCATGTCTTTCAGGGGACACAGTGTGACACATAAGAGGTGGCGAGTAAGTTTCTCCTGCTGAGAAAATTGTAGAGATTCAATTACAGAAGAAGCCTGAGGCTCTGTCCAAGATCAGAGGTTGAAAAGACTGAGTCTCCAGAGCCCTTCACAGTCACCAGGGAAGTTGGGCCCATGCCTGCCAGGTACTGTTCAGAAGTGGGTCCTAAGCAATGCAAAGCAGGGGACTTTCACATAATCAGGCACCCAATACTTGGCCTGCGTGGGCAAGACAGACTGGGTGGAAATCCAAAGGAAGACACTGGGGACCAAGGATGACCTCACAGAGCATTAGAAAAGGGGACAGGAAAGCAAGAGCCAGAGGATGGAGACATGGGTGTTCACTGGGAGAGAAGGCCAAATAGATAGAACTCTGGTCCACAGATCGAGCTGATTTCCAGAGATGGCATCTTAGCTTCCTAGGGCTGCAGTAGCAAAGAACCACACTGGGTGTCTTAAAACAACAGAGATGAATCTCTTCCAGTTTTGGAGGTCAGAGGTCTGACATCGAGGTACCAGCTGGGCCACACACTAGGGGAGGAGCCTTCATGCAATCTAGTGGCTGCCCAGGAGTCCTTGGCCATCCTCGGCTCCTAGAGAAATGTCCTTATCTGTCAAAGGTAGGAACTCCAGTCTCTGGATTTAGGGCCCACCCTAACCCATTGTGACCTCATCCACTTGATCACATCTGCAAAGACTGCCTCCAAGGAGGATCCCACACAGAGGTACCATGGATGAGGGCTTCACCATGTCTTTCAGGGGACACAGTGTGACACATAAGAGGTGGCGAGTAAGTTTCTCCTGCTGAGAAAATTGTAGAGATTCAATTACAGAAGAAGCCTGAGGCTCTGTCCAAGATCAGAGGTTGAAAAGACTGAGTCTCCAGAGCCCTTCACAGTCACCAGGGAAGTTGGGCCCATGCCTGCCAGGTACTGTTCAGAAGTGGGTCCTAAGCAATGCAAAGCAGGGGAATTTCCTCAAAGGGTGGATCCTCTAATTTTGGAAACTCTTTCAGATTATTCTCATGCTGCCCCCAATTCCCTAAATCCCAAGTCAGCCCGCCTCCCCCAGATTGCCCCGTCCAGGTATGCCTCTCTTTGTCCCTGAAACCATCATTCTTCCTACATGCCCTTGCCAGGCTGAACTACCTGGATAAGAAAATAATCACTGCCAGTGACACAAGTGGTTTTGTATGTATTTTGGAAACTCTTTCAGATTATTCTCATGCTGCCCCCAATTCCCTAAATCCCAAGTCAGCCCGCCTCCCCCAGATTGCCCCGTCCAGGTATGCCTCTCTTTGTCCCTGAAACCATCATTCTTCCTACATGCCCTTGCCAGGCTGAACTACCTGGATAAGAAAATAATCACTGCCAGTGACACAAGTGGTTTTGTATGTCAGTTGGCCATTCGCTTCTACTCTGAGACTTGATCACATCTGCAAAGACTGCCTCCAAGGAGGATCCCACACAGAGGTACCATGGATGAGGGCTTCACCATGTCTTTCAGGGGACACAGTGTGACACATAAGAGGTGGCGAGTAAGTTTCTCCTGCTGAGAAAATTGTAGAGATTCAATTACAGAAGAAGCCTGAGGCTCTGTCCAAGATCAGAGGTTGAAAAGACTGAGTCTCCAGAGCCCTTCACAGTCACCAGGGAAGTTGGGCCCATGCCTGCCAGGTACTGTTCAGAAGTGGGTCCTAAGCAATGCAAAGCAGGGGACTTTCCTCAAAGGGTGGATCCTCTAATTTTGGAAACTCTTTCAGATTATTCTCATGCTGCTCCCAATTCCCTAAACCCCAAGTCAGCCCGCCTCCCACAGACTGCCCCGTCCAGGTATGCCTCTCTTTGTCCCTGAAACCATCATCCCTCCTACATGCCCTCGCCAGGCTGAACTACCTGGATAAGAAAATAATCACTGCCAGTGACACAAGTGGTTTTGTATGTCAGTTGGCCATTCGCTTCTACTAAGTAGGAGCTTGTTAGAGACACAACTCCCTGACCCAGAGGAGAGATCTAACTCCCGGGACTTCACCCTGTTCCCAAAATTGCCTAGCATCGTTGAGAAGCAGGATTTGGTCCTTAGAAGAAGCTGGTTCTTTGGAGACTGGCTACTCACCCGCCTTGAGGTTGAGTGGTTGACCCAGGCAGACCTGGTGGGTGAGTCAGAGCAGAAGGAAAGTCATATAATCTACTTATAAAAAGGAGATTCAGGGTGCAGGAATCACCAAGCCTGAGCTCTAGTCCCACCTCTGTTTTCAGTTGCTGTGAGGCCCAGCATGGGCACTCGTGTTGTTGCCAGGTAGCATGGATTTTACCAAGATATACTACGGAAATCAGACATGGACCAGGGCCTGCGCTAGGGATGTCTATTACCATTATCTGCCCTCTTCTTCGGGCTCTCTAAAGGAGAGTATCCCGTAGAGGCTTCTGAGATGCTATCAGTCAGCTAAAGGTTCTTGCTCAATTTGTACAGAAATCACAAATTGGCCTAGTGTCGCTCTGTTAATGTTAACAGCTCTGAGCTCTGAATTCCAGCAGCTCTCGGTTCTTCTAGTGTTAGTGGCTCCTCGCCGCATGGAGCAAGCATTTATCAACAGGCTTTGGAAACTCAGCCGACCACCGTGGATGGTGGTTGCTGGCAGTTTTCTGTCTATCTCTGTCCTCCTCTGCTGCTAATCAACTTCAATGTCTTCGGCCCTAGCTTCCGGCCACTTTTGACACCGACGGCCTTTGGTATATTACTAACTCTTAGTGTACCAGATCAGCCTGCTTGACTCAAGGTAGAAATTGCAAATAGGCAAAAATACAGCATCTCAGAGAGATTTTATCAGGACACATGGTGCAGCATAGCGGGGGATTGAAAACATGGGTTTGAACACACTATGGGTGAGGGGATGGCCTTTACAAGGGGAAAGGAGGCTCACACACACACACACACACACACACACACACACAATGTCACACTTCCTGTTTGGACTTGAGTGGAAAGGGGCCTTGGGAGAGGCCTCGCTGGGAAGGGTTGTGAGAGACAGAGCCATCCAGGGAGGCATCAAAGTGAAGTCACTGGGATGGGTCCCCTACCTAAGCCTCCACAGCAAAATGGATGGCCTTTACAAGGGGAAAGCAGGCTCACACACACACACACACACACACACACACATATACACACACAATGTCACACTTCCTGTTTGGGCTTGAGTGGAAAGGGGCCTGGGAAGGGTTGTGAGAGACAGAGTCATCCAGGGAGGCATCAAAGTGAAGTCACTGGGATGGGTCCCCTACCTAAGCCTCCACAGCAAAGAAAGTGTCCCCCGGGGGCTGGGGATTTAGCTCAGTGATTCCACAGCCTGCCTCGCAAGTGCAAGGTCCTGAGTTCGATCCCCAGTACCAAAAAACAAAACAAAACAAGAAAGTGTCCCCCAGACTGTCCGTGGAGCACCAGATGTAGCCAGGACAGCTATAGGGCATTTGGGGCAGCCATGGAGGACAAAACTGCCTCTTAGGAGGTGTCAGGCCCTCCTCTCCTGACTCCATACCTCCAATACTTGTCTTAGTAATGACCCACGCAGCCAACAGCAAGCCCTTCTCCACCCTGGGCCTCAGTCTCTCCATCCTTTCAATAGGGGGAATGAGCAGAGGTCTCTTCTGGCTGTGACACTTAGGGATTTTTACAAGATGGTTTGACACCAGTCATATTTTTTAAATCCTGTCTGTGCTTGAACACTCCAGATATTTTATTACTAGGTCTACAGTACATAACAAAGTGATTGTGTAATTAAGAGATAATGTCAATGCTGTAGAACAATGTTGACAAGATAATAGCCTTCTGAAACCACATAAATGCCAAAACAAGAGAACAGATTTATAGGTGGGAAAACAGGAAAGCAAGAGGTAAATGGCCCAGAAGCTCTTCATATTCAAAGTTAGTCCATGGGCTTCATAGTTCAGTTTCTGCCATGACATTCAAGTTCTGACCCTCATCATGCCCCGGGTATCTAGTTCAAGGCTGAAGAAGACAGGATCATCTGCCATAACTAGTCCCCAGCTCTTTACTTATAGATTCACAGATATTTATCCCCGTGGGCTGCCAGGCCTATCATTAGGTTGAAACCTTCCTAGGGCCCCAGCATGGCCAAATCAAGAGAATGAGATCAAATTAAGGATTTGCTTGGATGGTTCACCAAAGGAGGTCTGGAGCCATGGATTCTGTATGAGTTTGTCACCTTTGCATACTCTAGCCAGAGTCCCCTCCTTAGATCCGGTTTCTTCAGGAAGAGGAAGGAACAGGAGGAGGACAAACCTTGAGACACCAGGCTGCTCCCCTGATAGACCAAAAGCATCAGGCACTGTCCTAATCGGACCACCTAGAAAGGTGAAAGTCATGGGGGAACGGAATGAGGAGGAGGCTTATCCGCTGTGTCTCACAGTACTGGGAAGTGGGCACATCCTGAAAGTTAAAGGAAATTAAGAGCAAAGAGGAAAGAGCTGATCCACAGGAAGGGAAAGAGGAGAGACCAGCCTGGCTTGGAAAAGGGGCCTGGTATGCTTCGAAGAGCACTGGCTTTGAGGACAGAAGAACTAATTGGAGCCAGGCATTTGTGCAGTGGCTTCAAATAAGCCAGCAACTTCCCCTTTCTAGGACACAGTTTCTTCACCCCTGAAGTGAAGGTGCTGGATGTAGTCAGTAATGCCCACATGCCCTGACTGAGGCTAACATCTCCTGCCAAGTGGCTTCTTGGGTGTTTGGGACAATTGGGAGCCAGGTGCTCCTTGAAGCCTCTCCCACCTCTAACACCTAGAGAGCCCCGGAAATGTCAAGTAGATTCATGATGATTTTGATAAACTCCTAGATGCCAGAGCTATTGTGGGGTTGTAAGCATAACTGTGGGGTTAAAGCACCGTGGCCCCATGAGAGTAGTACCAGGTAGACCTGCAATCCATCGACCTTCCCAAAGGACACAGAACTCGGGAATAAAGGGCCACAGGTCCCACGGGTTGTGAGCCCCCGTCCCCCTCTTCCCCAGCAGGGATGGCCTTCCTGGCCAGCGCTTGCAAGGCCTACTGAAGAAGCTTCCCTGAGTCCTTCCAAGAAGAGCTAACTATTCTCCTTGTCAAGTTGAATTAGTGATGTTTTGACCTATCAGGATGGTTTGTTTTCAGATTTGTCTCGCTGGTGAGACCTCTTAAGAGCAGAAACCATCTTTTGGCCTCACTGAATTGGGTAGTGAAGATCACGCCCACACAGAGTAAGAGCGCAATAAACTACTGTTAAAGGAAAGGAAGGAAAGATGAAGAATGGAGAGCGGGGAAGGAAAGGAAGGATGTGGAGGAGGGAGGGATGAGAAAGGAAGAAGGTACCTCCCCACCTCCCCACCAGCCATGAACATCGAGGTACACAGAGCAGCAAGTGTGACCCATGACCCTGGGTCTTTAAACACAGCGTTACACACAGCGTCTGCTCTCCCAGGCCATGAGGGGAAAGGATTTTGCTTTTTTCAATGCATGAAGTCCTGAACCCAATGACACCGCTGTTTTTTTATGTATGTATTATAAAAACAATAGAACAACATTGAAAAACATAGAAAGGATGCTATTCATCCCTGCAGCTGTTGCTAGGGATGTGGGCTTGACTAGTGCCAATCGCTGTGTGATTCCATTTTTTATTTTGCTTTCTTTTCCCTTTCCTATGAGTCCATAAGCTTTTTCTGTGTTGCTATACAATCTCCGTAATTATTACTTTAATGGCTGCTTAATATGCCGTCAGGTTGATGGGCCGTAATTTGCTTAACCATGTCCCTCTTTAGAATATAACCTTTTAAAACATTAAGCAGAACACTTATAAACCTTCTAAAATAGGTAGAGAAGGTGGTTTCTTGGCAACATGGGTAGCGTTTCTCAAGTGTGCATGTCCAGGAGGAAAGGGGCCCAGGGTAGGGGCCAGGGCCAGGCCTGGGGCCAGGAGGGTGGGCAGGAGGAGGGAGAAGGGTGCCGTGGCCCCAACACCCCTGAGTTTCCAGTGTGCAGCTGAGGTCTGCCTTCCATGAAGGAGAACCAGTCACAGAGAGTACTTGGAGGCATAATAATGGTAATAATAGTGGCTAATATTGATTGATCTGTGCACTAAAAACTTTATAGAAGTCATATCATTTAATCCTCCCCACCAGTCAAGTAGTGCTGTTATTTGATTCCTGGCCAGAGGTCACATGGCCAGAGTGACGAGGTCCTGCCTCCCAGTCTCTCGCAGCCCTGAGCACCTCTCCCAGAGCCCATCCCCTGTGCCTGGGGATTCCCATCTCTGCACACTGTTCGGGCTCATCCTTCCCAGGCCATGTCCAGAGCTCCTAGAACCTCCTAACTCTCTGCAGCAGCTGGGCAAGGGATCCAGAGGAGGCGTCCTGAACCCACCACCTGCAGGTGACTTGCAGTGAGGAGACAGGGACTTGCCAAGGGACAGGCGTGGCAGCAGGAGGATTCTAGCTAATGCCTGCCAAGGGCCCATGGGTGGACTCAGAGCCTGGCACAGGACGGTGGGGAAGCAGCCATGAACTGCACCCAGGAAACTAACGTTCTGGGGCAAGATGAGGAATCCCATGTATTATTACCCCCATACCATGCTTTTAATAAAAAGGACAGGAAGCCCTCCTCCCTCCCTAACTAGATTCAATTTATGGGGAAAATAGCCCTCCCTGGCCAAGTGCACCACAGCTCTGGCCTGTGGGACAAGGTCATTTTAGGCAGCTGCTGGGGCCCCTTCTCCTCGCTGCTGTTCACAGCTGCTTAAGCAGCAGGATGGGAAAAGAGGGTTCTCAAGCTCCACATCTCTCTGGGTTCATCACGAAGCACCGCAAAATGCTCCGGGAATTAGACTGGAATTTTTCATGCCTCTGGGGCAAGTAAGTCAACCCAGCGAAAGGATGTGCTGCGGCCCCCGGAAGTGATACTAGTCCTGGAAATGGACTTGGAGATCCAATGGCCCCCACACCGCGTTTCCAGAGGAAAGACCTCGGTAGGCGGGATCTTTCAGGCCACACCTGCAAGCCGGAAGGTCCGGAGGCCTGAAGTAAGCGTGGAGCTGCTCTTGTAGACTTTATCCCAGTTTATTCCCAGTTTTAATTTGTTCGCTTGGCTTCCAGACTCCAAGACTCACCGCCCCCACCACCTCCGGAATGCGAGCTCCGCGAACACGGGGATGACTTTTGCCTTTTACCATTGGCCTCCGCGCAGGAAGCATTTAGTAATGATTGGGGTGATAAATAAGGGAGAGGATAAAGTCTCTCTGTAAAGCAGAACAGGAAAACGGAGAGGCAACTGGTCATATCTGGAATGGTGGGAAACAGCTGCACCACAAGTCTGTGTTTCTCTAAATCACGAATGCTGGTGAATAGGTAGTATTTTTAATAAAGTGTTGATTTCTACAGAAAAGGGAGGTAATAACTTATAATCAAGTGTTATTAGGACGGAGACGCCTCAGGGAATCCCAACCTTTTGGGCCAGGTGAGTGCCACCCCACCTCCTCCGCATGGCCCCTAAGGAAAGTGCCAGCAAATGTCACTTCCACTTTCTCCAGTCTAGGAAGACAGCCAGGTCTAGGTCGGAGGGGCTGCAGCTGATCTTTTAACCCCAACTCATGCAGGTTGGCACTGCCTCCCTCTGGCTGAGGAAATCTCGAGGGAGAATTGCAGCATGGCGAGGGAGACCCGTTCACACAGAACATCATCCTCTTTGCCTTTTATAGCTTCTCCCCAGAGGACTTTGAGGAAAGCAGAGTCTTAGGAAGAGCGCCTGACTGCAGATTCCAGGACCCTCGCACATCCCCCTCCTCGCTGACCCCTGGTGGAGCCAGTTAGTCCTCGTACCCTGCGTCCTTTGCTTACCCAGTCTTGTTTGTCTCTATAGAAGGAAAATGAGAGCCCCCCCAGAGGGCCTCGTGAGAATTTGCGAGGGCTCCTCGGTTAGATTTGAATGCAGGACACCCACCTCTCACTAAACGCACAACAAGCGGATGTGTCAAACCTCTTGACAGTGAGGCTCCTCCTTCTCCCCGCCCAGCACGGAGCCCGAACAGCCCGGCCCTTCCCCCTTCCTCTCCCTTGCTTACCTGTGTCCCTCCCGAGGCAAGACCCCCTCGACCCAGGGAGATCCCCCGCTCTAGGTCCTGTGTTGCCTGCCCACTGAAGGTGGTGTAGAGGTAAAAGGAGTGGAGTCAGAACAGGACTCCCAGAGCCACCTCTGGGCAGCGGATCGGCTGCAGCCAGTCACCCATCACCGGAATCTCCAAGCCTCAGGCTTCTGGTCTCCAAAATGGAGGTAAAACCAGTCACGAGCTCCCGGAGCCACCATGGTGCTCACAGAACAACCCCGAGTAAGCCCTCGGTTACTATTAGCTCTTACTAATTCGACAATGCTCTGCTCAAACCTAACGTTTTCTGTTTGCAAACATGCCCGTGTTTTTCCAGCTTCTATTCCTCTATCCCCGCATTTATCCCACCAGAATGTTCTTTCTTCTCCCTCCCAGTGCAGATTAAACGCTTGTTTTGCCAGAAAGCTCTCACCGTTTCCCAGGCTGCGTGGTCACTTCCTTGGCCATCCCTCCACGGCACTGCCTGCCACCACCTCCTCCTCTCAGCCCAGAGCCAGCCTGCCCACCGCTGGATCCTGGCCCTGCCTCTGCCTGGCCACATGGTAATGGGCAAGTTTTCCAGTCTGTGTACTGAGATTCTCACTTTATCTTTGCATTGCATCGGTTGTACATGTGTACGATAGAAATATATAATAATACACGATCTGTTGTTACGATCAGTAACTCTAGAGAGGATTTCACATCGTAAGAAGCACTTAGCAGAGTACCTGGGACGTAACAAGGTGCTCTCTAAGTGACAGCTGCGGTTGCTAACACCGAGTCCTGGTCCTGCCTCTCACCGGCAGGCGTGCAGAATGTGGCAGGGGGTTAATCTTCATCCAGCCAGGAGCCGCGCAGATGTTACCAAGGTGATCACACATGCAGAATGCCTGTAACCTCAGCACAGAGAGCAATGCTGCCCTCCTTTACTCTAAAAAGTGCCAGTTGGGGACCGGGGATTTAGCTCAGTGGTTCCGCCGCCTGCCTTGCAAGTGCAAGGACTGAGTTCGATCCCTGGTACCAAACAAAACAAAAAAAAGTGCCAGTTGGGCTGACAAATAGACCACCCAAATATCACTCACCCTCAATGTGCCTGGAACAAAGGAAGGAAAGAGTCACGCTGGTCCAGGCTGCCAGGCATGGCTTTCCCTCTTCGCTCCAAACAGAGCACTGACACGAAGACGGCTTCTTCCCATCCGCGCCCTCCCCAGGCACCCCGTGCCCTCAGCCGGCCCAGGAAGACTCCCTCAGTGGCCCTCTCCCCTCCATCTCCATACTTGAGAACCCACACAAACTCATTCACACTAAGATAATGGGACAATTGCAGCCAGAAGTGATGACCAAATGGGTCTTTCGTTGAGCCTGAAATGGTGCTGGAATCCCCAAAGAACTTGGCATCAGAGTCAGGCCATCAGGCAGGTGGCTCTTGTGCCCCCAGAAAACACCCTTTTCATGGCTTCACACTGATTTTCTGAACTGGGATGTGGATATCTGTCCCTTCACCACTCTGTCCTTCCCTAACCGCACTTGGTAAGGGCTGCATTTTTTAGCTTCCTCTGTAGCAAATGTGCCTGGCTAATCTCCCAGGGAGACCTCTCTGAAAAGCCTGACAGTGCGCAGGGTTCAAGAACTCGCTAGCATACATCTCCAAATCAGCAACGAATGACACACAGACCTAGGGATGGGACCAAACAGAGGCCCTGAGGGAGTCAGGCCAGCCCAGCACAGCTCGGAAGTGCGGGGGACCTGGGGATGGACACAGACTCCTGGTGTAATTCTCACCAGCCAGGGCTAGGATGAACTTCCAAACTCCAATTGCACAATTAAAGCAATATACTCATACATTTAGCAAACTTTGCATTGAACACCTACTATATGCAAAGTGCTTTGTAAGGCTTTAGAGCAGGACAGGCAAAATGGGTACTATTTTGGCAACAAGACAAGGCCCTTTTCCTCAAGGACGTTTGAAAGACTTTGTATAGATACAACAGTGACAGTCAACATACACTGTGGCTGTGGAGGGAAGTAGACAGCACCAGGATCCTAGTCACCGGGGAAAAGGCTGGAAAGGAACTGGGAAGGAATGGGGAGGTGTCTCCGGTTCTGAAGGCAGCGGGGCAGGTGTGATGGATGGGACGTTTGCGAGCTCACCTTAGAAACAGAAATGAGCCAGTGCACAGCCCAGGGTTCACTCCATGCCAGTTTTCCTGGGAAAGTGAGAGACAGGCTGATGAAGGTTACACCTACCATCGGTGTTAGAAGAGGCAAGCCCCGATCCAGAATTAACAGAGCAATTAACCCGCAAAGCCACAGAAACACATATGACCTGACAACTTTCAGAGCATGTAATTTATCCAATTAAGCATTTTGGGTCCCTATAACCACACAGATTGGTGTATTAGTAACCTCAAAGGTCTCCACTTCTAGACATTTGGGGAATTTCTTCTTTCTGCCTGGACACATCTGTCTATATAATTATATCATGCAAAGCAGAATATTGGTGTAATTCTGGGAAATGGTGTTTAACTCTTTATTTTCATTCTATGGCCTATCCGCTGCTCGTGGTTTTCATGACCTATTTGGAGTTGAGTTCCACCTTGTGAGACAGCCTCTTTCTGTTCTTTCCCTGCACACACTCCTGCAAACGCTGCTTGAGTCCTCCTGCCCACAAAGCTTTGCTGGACCAACCCAGTACACAGTGACTCCCCCAAGATCCCACCCTTCACAACATTTACTTGACCTTGGCTTTCGGTGGCCTTGTATCAAGTAGAGTGTACACTTGCTAAGGGACAGGGCCAAGTCTCCTATTTCTGCTTGGTGCATGTAGCATGTGGCAAAATCCACGGCATGTGGACAGCTGCTGACCACTAGGGCCGGGGTGGCAGCCAGGTACATGGCCAAGCACACACCGGACAGATGACACACCTTCCTTCCACTGACCCAATTCAGTCAAGCCTGTGAACCAAAGAGAGTGTTTAGGTCTGTGTCACTTAGGCGTTTTCAGGTGGTGGAAAAATTCAGTACAAATTGGCTTAAGGCCGAATTAATTAGTTCAGATAACCACAAAGCCCAGAAGAGTCTGGCTTCCAGTATTTTTGGATGGGGAGCCCCACTTGTGTCATCACAGTGAGATTCCCCCAGTCACTGAGCTCCATCTTTCTGCTCTTTGGTTTTGTGTCTCATCTCCTCCAGGTAGCAGCTTCAACTTCGTGGTACCCCAGGCAATAGAGAAGAGCATCCCCTGTGCCCTGTGCCCTGAAGACTCTCCTGGGATCTCATTAGCTCCGGTTGACTCACAAGTCAATCCTTGCATTAATTGCTGTGCCCATAGGAATGCAGTGGGCTCCACGGCTTAGGCTCCCACTCCTGGTCCCCAGCACCTGTGTCCTTAGCCCACCAGATGAGTCCACTGTACGCAGCAGCGTGAAGACAGCCGGTCTAGGTGTCCGAGACACAGAGAGTGGAGGAGAAGATCCTTGGCGTATTTTCTGGGAATCTATGTAGATATGTAGTGCTTTGGATGGTGTCAGGTCTTGCGGTTGGGCCATGAAGGACCATCAGCGAGAAGTCCTGCTCTTCAGGACATAAATTTCCTTTAACAAGACAGAGATGCTTAAAGACTTTGGTCTCCCATTCAGGTCTACCTGACCCAGAGACGTAAACTGATGAAATCTCAGCTTTGGAAATATCCTTGAGGGTCATCTGATCCAAACACAATCACCATGGACCCCAATATGCTTCTTGATGGCATCTTTTACCAGCTGGTAACGACATGATCACATAAATGCCTCCCCGGATGAAGGGGAGGCCAAACCATTTTCTAATGCTCAGATGTTTAGATTTTCTTACACTTTTAGGCAGAAATCCCTCTCTTTGTAAAAACCCCTTCTATCGATCCTAGTTGTACTGAGAATGATGCAGAACAGCTCCATTCCTTGCTCCAAAGACAGCCTGTGCATTGAAGACAGATCTGTACCCTGTCTACTTCTCCTAACTTCCGGGAAACAGCCCTAGTGTTACTGCTTGATAGATGTCCCTCAAGGCCCACGTGGTAAAGGCTTGGTCCCCCGCCTGTGGCACTAACAGGAAGTGGTAGACCCTGTAAGAGTTGGTGCAGCACAGAAGGCCCTTGGGCCATTGGGGTTGTGCCCCGGAAGGGGATAGTGGGACCCTAGCCCCTTTCCCTTCTCCCTTTTTTGTGTTTGCTTTGTGAGAAGCTTCGCCCCCATCAAAACATGCTGTCTCATCACAGGCCGGAAAGCAGCAGGGCCGGCCAATCTCAGGCCAAACCCTCTAACACTGTGAGTCAGCATCGTCCTTTGCCCTTAGAGATCCATGGTTCGGGGCATCTGTTACAGTAACTGGAGAGCTAACATGCTCAGCAACATCTGTCAGTCATTTCCTGGGTGAGATGGGGTCCAGTCCCTGCCTGGCCTGGAAACCTCTCCCTCCAGACTCTGACAGGTCCCTGTGTCCCTCTTTTCCTCTTTGTTGTATTTGCCGTCATTGTCCCCCTCTTCCTCTGCTTCTTCTCTCTCTCTTACTTTTCCTCCTCTTTGTCCTCCACCTTCTGGCCTTCTTCTTCACATTCTGGGGATTGAACCCACATCCTTTGCACTGAGCTCATCCTCAGACCATTCCTTTTGTTAACTGAGACAAGGTCTTGGTAAGCTGCTTCCGTGGAGCTCAAAAAAATTTTTTTTTTCTTTTTGGTACCGGGGCTTGAACTCAGGTCCTTGCGCTTGCGAGGCAGGCAGCGGAACCACTGAGCTAAATCCCTGGCCCTAGGTGGAACTCAAATTTGAGATTCTCCTGCCTCAGCCCACCCGCCCAGTGGCTGGGATTATCCTACATGCAAGTGTTACCACTCCCAGCTGCTCGCCTCTCTTAAAGTAGGATGCACTGAACACAACCCTCCAACAGTGATATAATGAGAGCAAAAGAGAGCTAAAGTCTTGTCCCAGAACTCCTCTTCTATCGGTGTCCTGCACTGCTCCAGCATTTACAGCAACCACTGCCTAGCGGTTACTCGGGGTTACTTGGAAGGGCTTTGTCCTGCCGTCCCTGGCCAGCCCTTGGGCCTTGGCTGCCGCTCAGCTCCTCCCCTCTCATCATACGCTCTGTGGAACCCAGTTTATGACCTTAGAGGTAAGTGACTCCAGACGGGAAGTCTGTTACCACTGCTTGCTAACAACTGCAATCTCGTAAAAGACACCTCAGGATTTATAAGATAAAATTCAGCAAACATGGAACGCAGCGCTGAGAGCTGGAGACCGAACACGGGGAGAAGGTGCTTGCTTGGTGAGGTGGCGGGGGCTCTCCCTCTAGCCAAGGAGATGGAGCTAAACAATCACCACCAGCAGGGGTGGCAGGTGCCACGGTGACCGAATGAACAAACTGCCACCACCACCTCTTCCAGGGACACAGGGGCCTCGCCCAAGAGCTGACCTCAGAGCTGGATTTGGAAGGGCGCATCTGATTTCTGCAGTCAGCAAAGGAGGAGCCAGGCCTTCCAAGAAGTGGGCTCAGGATGCAGAGGCTCAGGGCCTTAAACGGATGTGCATACCAGCAGCTGGGCTGGTCCCAAGGGGCAGGGCTCTGGTGGAGAGCAATGACAGGACGGGGCTGCAAGGGAGATTGCAGCTGATGGGTCAGAGCCTAGGACTCCGCACTGATCTGTGGTCTTTGGGAAGAGAGCAAGGATACTTGAAGCAGAGATGGAGGTAAGAATGCCAAGAAGAAGTTGGTATGGGCAACTGAGAAGTCATATCTAGAACATGTAAAACTCTCTTGTAAATCAATAAAGGAAAAAAAATAAAACTAGGCAAAGATGGGAACAGGTATTTGGTAGAATGGAAAACTGTGAAAAGCCAGTATGTACATGAAGGTCAGGACCTCATCAGCAATCAGGAAAATTAAAAGGAGGGATGAATGTGTTGTCATTTCACAGCCATCAGGTTGCAAAAGTGAAAGTGTGACCAAACCAAGCGTCCGTGAAATATCACACACTGGTAGAGCCGAAATTGTAGGCCTGCTTTGGAAAGCAATTTGTCCGTGTCTAATAAAGTTGCAGAGTACATACCATTTCAGCCAGTATTCCAGGGAAATTCTCCCCCATGTTCACAGAGATCTGTGCCTGCGTGTTCATACGGCATCACTTGTAACAGAAAAACTGGGGAGGGGGGCACAGAACTATCTAAATGGCTGAACTGTTTTCCCCAAAATTCAGTATGTTGAAGTTCTAACTCACAGAGCCTCAGAGTAGGATGTGGCTGGAGATAAGTTCTTTTAGAGATAATTTATGTTAAAATGGGGTCATTCGGGTGAACTCTGCTCCAATATACCTGGTGCCATTGTATAAAGAAGAGATTAGGACACAGGCAGCCTCAGAGGGACAAGCACCCGAAGATGCTCAGAGGAGATGACCATCAACAGCCCCGAGGAAGACTGACTCCAAGCCCCTGATATCCCTCGATCTTGGGCACTGGCAGCCTCCAGGACTGTAAGGAAATGGATGGGTGTCATGTAAAGAGGATCCTTTGTCGTGGCTACCCTTGGCACACTGACACAGCTTGCATGGGGAGGGAAGGCAGAAAACTAAAATTAATCGCATTGAAAGACAAACTAGACCTCTGTGGGTCAAGATGCCTACAGCTTGAGAACATAATGCTGAAAGACAAATAGCAGAAAATGCATTCAACACGGTGCCAACTCTGCAGCAGTGGTGATCACAGGGCCATTTCAGACAGTGCTGCATGCATATGAATGTGCTGCATGTGGTTATGACTTATCCATGACGATACATAAAGACATTTAGGGGGGCTGGGGATTTAACTCAGTGGTTCCACCACCTGCCTTGCAAGTGCAAGCTCATGAATTCAATCCCCGGTACCAATTAAAAAAAAAAAAAAGACATTTCAGTCAGCCTCAGCCCACATATGCAACAGTGACCCCAGGGGATCGTGTCAGTGACCTCTTGGCCATCTTGGGTTGCATAAGAAAGACCTGCGATGCTTACACAACAAAAGTGTCTAATCTCACACCCCCTCCCTCAAGCAACCCATGACTGAATAGCTATTGGGTAACAAATAACAATAAGTAGACAGATACTGAACACACAGTAGCACACATATGATGTTCTGTGTGCTATGCAAAAAGTCACATTTACAGGCTAAGCATTTGCTATGTGGTGGCAGCAGGCCCATATTAGGTTTCTCTCTGTATTTTACCATATTTTTAAATGTTTTCAGCCGGGCATGGTGGCGCACGCCTGTAATCCCAGCACTCAGGAGGCTGAGGCAGGAGGATCACTGTGAGTTTGAGACCAGTCTGGGCTACAGTGAGTTCCTGGTCAGTCTCAACTACATAGTGAGACCCTGTCTCAAAAAAACCAAAAAAATAAAAGATTTTCATAAAATCTTCAAGAGTTGTTTTAAGAGGTGATGGGCAGCGAAGTGAAGACTTGTACTAAGCCAGCAGCTCTGAGAAGGAGTTCACAAGCTTGATCCTTTGTTCTCCTCCCTTGTTATACATTCCTTTTCCTCCGGGTGACAGCGTCGTCCTCTTGTTCCAAATTAGCCACGCTAGCAGCCTTGTCCCCGGCCCAAGTTCCAGGAACTGCAGTGTCACTGGGCTTGGCTCTCGTTCTCTTCTCGGTTCAGAAAAATGGGCCGCTTTTTCCCAGGGGTTCCTCCCGCTAAAGCCTCAGTCCTAGGTCCAACCCTCCATAGCAACACAGGGCACCCAGACCACACCCTCTGGGTGGAGTTTGGGAATCTAGACCCGTCAGGCGTGAACAAAACACTGAGTGTTTAAATAAAAATCGATTACAGGAAGACACACTGCCATTATCCTCCTCAAAATACGGCCCTTCGCTTCAAACGCACTGATCCACCTCTCTGGCCACTTTCTGAAGCACTTCTGAAGGTTTCTTTCCTGAATGTCTTTTTCTGTGGCTGCCTCAATGTCCTGAATGGATTCAAAACATTGACATCCAGGGTGCCATGTCCTGGTCCACCTTGTCTACGAGATCTGGTACCGTGCAGCTTCTGGCCCTTCCTCAAAGTCAAAATGACCACGAAAGGGAAGCAGTTTGAATGGATCCAGAACATGACAGTGCAACTAAAGACACTCAAGAAAGAGGACTTCCAGAATTGCTGCTGAGTGTGCAAGAGGGATGGGATCAGTATTTCAAAGCCAAGGAGTGTTCTGAGGGGGCTTTGTGGCAATGTGTCTTTCACTATACTAAATACTTTTAATTTAAACACTTATCATGCTTTTTTGATCACATCTTTTATATTTCTTCCACTCTGCCTCAAAGACAATGACGCTAGGTCCAGCCATGTTTCTAGAAAAGCCCAGACGGGTTTCCAGTTCTGGTGCTTCCTCTAAGAACATCTATTTCTCTGGCCGAGTTTTCCCTCACCCCTGAAGCTCGGCTCCCTTCTGTGAAGCCAGCATTCAGGCTGGGTCTCGTCCACCCTCCGCT